GAATGAATCGCACAGTGCTGAGTAGAATAGGGTTAGAGAATGAATCGCACAGTGCTGAGTAGAGTAGGGTTAGGGAATGAATCACACAGTGCTGAGTAGAGTAGGATTAGGGAATGAATCCCACAGTGCTGAGCAGAGTAGGGTTAGGGAATGAATCGCACAGTGTTGAGTAGAGTAGGGTTAGGGAATGAATCGCACAGTGCTGTGGAGAGTAGGGTTAGGGAATGAATCGCACAGTGCTGAGTAGAGTAGGGTTAGGGAATGAATTGCGCAGTGCTGAGTAGAGTAGGGTTAGGGAATGAATCGCACAGCATAAGTAGATTTTCTGCTTGTATTACATGTGGAGAAATGTTATTTTTTTGCGTGAAATAATCACCAGGATGGAATCTGCTGTGATTCTGGTCTTTTTTTACGTCCACTCCACCAGATGGGCGTATATTGCGATTGTCCTAGTCTGTCCGTCCATCTGTCCACAATTTATTGCTCTCTGCAGACTACAATTTTGGTTGGATTCCTCTCATTTTTTTGTGGGTCTTTTGTGTTATGAAGAGGATCCCTATTGATTTTGGTGATTGGAAAATTTGTAGTTAAATAACGGCTTTGCCAGGCTGCCATGTGGGCGTATCTTCACGCTTTGCATGGCTTTATTTAAAAAAAAAAAAACAACAGAAGTCTTTCAATCTCCCCTCTTGGAGTGCAGTAACCGAGTGGACCACATTATCCCCTCCCTGCCTGAATTTTCTTCGTACTGCTGCTCTTGAGTTGTTTGGGAAATTGAGCGACACGAATAGATGTTTTATCCTTCTGTTTCACGCAGGTTGGAAAAGGTGTTTAATTTCTCCAAGGAGGACATGGCTAAAAAGCAGGAGTCCCACGCAGGTAATAATTCCCGACAGTCCTGATCTGTGGGCTGGAGCTCAGCAGGAAGTTGTTGGGCTTGGCCCAGCCAGGAGCCCTTCTGTTTCGAGTTCACATTTTCTCCCGTGTCGCATTGGGTCCCTCTGTTTCCTCCCACAGACCAAAGACATTTCAGGCTGTACGGAGACTCAGCATGACCCATTGGTCTAAGTGCGTGGTGTGTTGGCCTGTCAGAATGAGCCTAAAATGCTGTTCGAATATTCACGTTTGTTAAACACGTATCAATGCAATATCGAATATCCTACTTACTGTGTTTCCCACACAAAACGAGATGGCAAAATACTACGAACATCAAATACATCAACATAAACATAGGCCCCGTTTACACCTGGTTTTAAAATGCGTTTTGTGAGATCGAATTGCAATCGGATTTCGTTTGACCACTTAACAAGCGTCTCCAGCGTCCACATTACAGTCCGTCCTGCTGACGTCACATCCGTCTCTCCTCTCTTAAAGTGGCGTGCCTCGCTTACCGTAAAAACTGGTGAATAAGACGCACCTTTAATTCAATATTTTCCCTTAAAAATGCATTGCGTCTTACAAACCGGTGCGTCCTATACACCAGTAAAATGGGTAAAATGTTGCGAGAGGTAAAGGATGTTCCAATGTATATCCAGGAGAGGGCACTGTGAGCTGGACCTTGGTCACGTGTCCCAGAGCTTGGTGTTCAGTTTCTGTGATCTCTCAAGAGCTAGAAGCTGCGTAGCCAACCGCAACATAGCGAAAACTTCCAGAAAGAGTGATACAGCTGCACGAAAACTTCACGTCATGGACTGTGCTGAACAAAATGGAAATCACCTCTTTGTTTAAAGTAAATTGAAATAGTTTGGAACAACTTGTTTCTGCATTTTTATAAATGAATAGCTACTATAACACAGTCTTTGATGAAACCCTTTTTACCTACAGGACACCGCACAAAATATACTGCATCTTGCTTACCAATGCAACTTATCTACTGAGTTTTACTGTAGGTGTTTCCGCCCATGGAGGAGTTGTGTGCAGATTGGAGACGCATTTACACTTGTGTTCAAAGTGGCCAGAATCCGTCCCTGACCACTTTGAGAAGTGGTTTGAAAGATCGAATCACAATCCGTCCTCAATGCGTCTTGAGTGCATTTACACATGTACTTTCATGTGGTCAAGCGCTATCCGATTGCAATCAGATGACAAAAAATGAATTTTAATACCAGGTGTAAACGGGTGAGTCTGAACTCAGGACCCTGACGCATCGCAAAGCTAAAGAAATAACAACACACCAGGCTCATCCAAGTTCGAACGAGATGCCAACCGTTCAGTTTTATTCCTTGAGACAGTAATGTTAATTCCACTACATCATTAGCTCTCTCACCATAGTTTAATCCAAAACTCGTGTTCGCGAATGAGACTGCATTTCAGAAAGCACATTTTCTCTTCAGTTTCTAACGTTGCACAATAAAAACCAGCACCCGCTGCTGGAAAGCTAACTCAAACTTGCATAGTTTGTGAACAACTTTCGTTTGGTCCTCAGTTTTACCATCGTCAACTGACCAAAAACCAAAGTATTTCCAAACGGTGCTTTTTTGATTCTTCGGGGTGTAAACCGGTTATTTTCTGAACCAGGGCTTTATAGCGAAATTGAACTCTCCGCCATCATTACTGCATAAAATATCAACGAGGTGGTGTGTCTCCTGCTCCTGGCTGTATGTCAGACCGACATGCCCTGCGCATACCCGGCACAAAGATGGAACCGTTTCAAGACAGTGAGCCCCCCTGCAGTATAGCGCGTTGGCAGTCAGCCGCTATACACTGCATACACCTACACAGGGTTAATTATCTTGACGTGACCTTTAATATTCATTAATCAATTTTCACGTTCGATGGTTCGTTTTATTGATAAAAAATTGATATGTATTAGAATATGGAATATTCATGACAGCCCTAGTGGTGTGTGGTTAGTCCTGCTTGTCTTACAAAGAGTACGATGGGTGATACGATACAGCTGTAATACGGCTGAAAGTACCGTTAAACGGTAAATAAATAATCCCAATTCATGAGTAGCTCTGGTCTCATTAATTTTTTGGGGAGTTTAAGGTCCGCAGTCCTGTCACTAGGTGCACAGCCAATTAGTCATTATAAGCCATTTCTAAGTCTGTTCCTTTGTGACATCATATGGTGAGGTGACCACCCAGAGACGAGGACTGATCAACTTCAGCCGAACAGTTAATCAGTTCCTTCATTATTCTGAGTGACTCCTCCTTTTGTGATGTCACTAATAACAGATTTTGAAAGGGCTTTTTGATGGCTAATTGGCTGCGCCTCTGGTGACATGACAGGGGACCTTTAAGGTTAGAGAAAAGGCAGCTTTACTATCCCCTGTCCTGCAGAAGCGGTGCATGCGAGCGGCGAGCAGAGGCTCCGAGCCGCCAGAGAGCAGGCCAAGGACAAGCAGGCCTCTCTGCAGAAGGACCTGGAGCAGAGGCGCCAAACCGCCGCCAAAAGCGCCTCCGTCAGGGTGAAGGAGGAGCCCGTCAGCGACACCGAGGAGCCCATGGATACCTCCGTCTCCAACGGTGCTCTCAATGGTTACCCGGACGACGGCTCCCCCTCCGACCCCCTCAACGGCCACGGTGGCCACGCCCCGACCCAAGAGCTCCTGGACTTTGTCGGGGCCACCTTCCGCAAGCACTACGTGCTGACGCTGAGCGAGGTGAAGCGCCTTTTCAACCTGCACCTGGCCAGCCTGCCGCCGGGACACTGCCTGTTCGGGGGCATCTCGGACCGACTCCTGCAGGACACCATACTGCTCAGCAGCTGCCGACAGATCCTGGTGCCTGTGAGTACCGAGCTGGAGCGGTCCGATTCTGAAGCGGTTTCAGTGCTGTAGGATAACACCTCACAGAGCCCTCAAACCCCACAATCCTCACCTGGTTTCCCCTTTTTCTAGAGGATTGGCTGAACCGTTAGTGCTGCTGATTGGCCAGACCGTCCTCACAACTGGCTCTCAGTTAAACGGAGGGTCAGAAACCAGCATGCCTTTGAGGGCTGATTTTGAGGAATAGGGCTCTAATTGGTTGTTTTAATTGCTCAGACATCATCACCCATAGTATTTGGTCAAGTTCAGTGGTTTAGTTATTTGCTTGGCTTGCGTTTGAATTGAACATTCTCTGAACATTCGTGAGCTTCTGTTGCCCAAGACCAGCTGGGAAAATTTAGTCATGGGTTAGATCTGTGGAGTTTACTTCCTTTTAGCTGATTATCGTAACTTTCTCAAGCTTACCGGCCGTGGATACTGTTGATCGGTATAATCCAGAATGCCAAGCAAGCCAAATATTAAAAATTAACTGCGTTGCATCTGCTTTTAAAACCTATCATAATTGACAATCAAAACATGAGATGATTGTGTTGAGTTTAGACGTGTTGGGTTAGTTTTATCCTATAATTGGTTGTAATTATTGCTGCCTTTTTCAACCATATTGCCATGAATTTGACTAGTGATTGAATTCAAGCTTCCTTGATCATGTGCTTCATTCTTTACTGAGTATGTCCCATTCATTCTGGAGCACTGGTGAACTTTGGACCTTGGGTTCATTATACTGATGTTATACTGAGGTTCTCCATTGGGTGTCACTTCTTTCCATTCAAAACATCAAAAAAAGCTTTGTGTTGCGATGAGACTCGAGCGTCAATCAGTCTGTCATTGGCACGACCACGGGCAGCAGATTCACAAACGGCTTATACAGGAGTTAACAATAGTGTCAATGGTGTTTGATTATTTTTATTTTCAATCGAAATACAGTATGTGGCCTTTATAAATGCAAACTGTGCACAATGAAGGCTAATGTCACGTTTTGCTCAGTTCTCAGATAAGGTTAACTGAGGAGGTGGTCAGCTGATTGATAAGTTAATGATATGGACGTATGGATAATCTGCAATGCCGATGGGCTCCAAATCGCATTTTTATGGCCATGTATTTTCTTTTTACTTTTACTTTTTTCTCCCTGCAAAATTTCAGTTAAATTTGGCACTTAATTGTCAGAGTATGGCCTATCAACTGTGCAATTTGGGATAAATTTGGCTTCCTTTGGAACACTGGTATAACTGGAGGCTCTGTGGTGCAGTGGTTAGCACTGCTGCTTCACAGCATGAAGGTCGTGGGTGCGAATCCGGCCTGGGGCCTTTCCGTGTGGAGTTTGCATGTTCTCCCCGTGTTTGCCTGGGTTTCCACTGGATATTCTCGTTTTCCCCACCCAGACAAACATGCTCTATAGGAACACTCCTACCAGTACCCCTGACCGAGGAACTGGCTTTAGAACTGGAGTTGGTCCCTGAGCGCTGCTCTGTGGCTGCCCACTGCTCCTGACTATAGGATAGGGGTGTAACGATTCTGAATCGATGTTTTTTTTAAAGCGTAGTAACACCACCTGCTACCATGGGGCAAACATCCGAGCTTTCCCTTTTCCTTAAATAACCCCCGTGCTGTCCTGAACGAAAGTGCCAAACATCAAAGGGCATGGGAAATGCTTCCGGAAAAAACTTGACTGACATCAGTATTTTTCGGCTACGTGCTGAGATTAGCCAAGCAAATGAAAACAAAATCGTCTCCTATTAACCAATTGGGCAACTCTAAGAAAAGTATACCTGTTTACTTTGCTTGATTAGCAATCAAATGGTGGATTCGTTTACTCTTTAAGTTGAATTAGTAAAGCTGTTTATTAAGACAACATGTTTGATTGCTGCATTTTGAAATTTAAATGGCTATAGAATAGAACAGATCTGCATGAACACGATTGCCATTGCCACGGCATTTCGTGCAACTGTGATAATTTATATCTCACATTCACATTTCATCCGCTTTTCAGAATGTTTTCCACCTTGTGTATTTTTTAGACGCTTAAACTCCAGGGCGATCTTGTAACAAATCTGTTTTAAAGTAATCTTGAATAATGTCCTAAAATGCTACAATGAGAGATGTAATTCAGAAGAAGATTTTTTCATATTATTCAAATTGGCATTCTTTAACACCGTAGCCCAGTTAAGTTTGTCTGCTTTTCACCATCACATCTTAATCGTTATAGGCTGAAATTGCTTGATTGTTATTTAGGCCAAATACATGGGAGCAGATTTAAGGAAGGGCAGGAGCACCTGCAGTTAGCGAAATCTAAACTCAATTTTCTTCCCGACGGCATTTTAAATCGTTTTAAGCCGCTTCAGGTGTGTATGTTTCAAGAAATTGCATGCGACTGCCTTCACACCCCATGACGGCAAGTTGTCTCATCAAACTTTAAAAAAAAAAAGAAAAATCCTCGTTCAACATCACCATATCCCAGCTCAGCATTTCATCTCTCAATGTAGTATTTTTAGGAGATCTATAATGATAAAATAAAGAGATTTATTTTCAGATCGCCCTGGATTTCAAGCGTCTAAAAAATACACAAGGTGGAAAACATTAAAGCGGATGAAACGTGAATGTGAGCTATAAATTACCACAATCACACGAAATGGCCAAATACGCGTTCTTGCAAATCTATGCCCATTTAACTTTCAGAATGCGGCAATCAAACATGCTGTCTTAATAAACAGCTCTACTCATTCAGCAAAGTAAAAAAGCAAATCCCCTGTTTGATTGCTAATTGAGAAGATTAGAGTAACCTAATTGCTTAAAAGGAGACAATTCTGTAGTCCTTTACTTGGCTCCGTGCAGCATGTCGCCGAAAAATGTCAGTCAAGTTTTTTTTGCGGAAGCATTTCTCATGCCCTTTGATGTTTGGCTCTTTCGTTCAAGACTGCGTCGGGTTTAATAAAGGAAAAGGGAAAGCTCGGATGTTCGCCACATGGCGGTCCTATGCCTTAAAAAACATCGATTCAGAATCGTTACACCCCTACTTTAGGATGGGTCAAATGCAGAGGACAAATTACCCCATGGGGTTCAATAAAGTGCATCTTCGTTTCTCGTGAATGCAATGTCCAATCAACTCTGAGCTTAAGAATTTAATTCTGTAGAACCAGAAATTGAAGTTTACAACATTTGATGCCTGTTTTTCAATAGGTGGCGCTGTAGGATTCATCAATGTAAAATTGACCATATCGAAGGGAATGGTGTGTTTGCTCAAAATTGCATGCAGCGTTTGGAGGCACTAGTCATTAATCTATGGTGAGGAAAGTACTCTTCTCTGCGACATTTCACATTGGAAATTTATAATAAGCTTAACAGACTAATTTTTGTAAGAAGTTTTCTTGATTGTAAAAGGGGCTTCCCAGCTGTTGCAAATATGTAATTTAACGGATCCAGGACGCCTGTCAGGTGAATGTGTCTCCAGCTTTGGAGTCGATGTGCACTGATCTGTTGGGTAATTTTTTTCAGGGTTTGCTTAGCTACGTCGATGGGGCAGTATTGATAGATGCAGTAGTGAGACGATACTTTGGCGTAGCTAAAGGACCTTTCAGATTCACAAATGTCTTCTTCTAAAATGACAGGCTGTCTGCATGAGCTGATGTGACTTTGCTCCTTGTCTCATCTCTGCAGTCGGTTATGTGCTACTAACCGGAGCCTACAGGTCCACTTACGACTTTACTCCTCTTCCAGTGACCATGAAGGGGCTAATATAGGGGTCCTGACATCCTTCCTCAGGGTTTGTCCTCAGCTTGACCTAATCTTCATGTCAAAAGCAGTTTTATGGGTTGTCAATTTTGTTTAATCCAACAGACAATTTTGTACTTTCACCGTCTGCATCACAGACCAAGTAGTTCTGCTGATGTTAGTCTGTCACTGCAGTGTTTGTTAAGTTGACATAAGACTGTTTCACCAGAGAAAGTGACCTTATTTCTAATCAGGCCACATCGCAGTATTAATAAAAACTGAATGGGGGCACAGAATCCTGAAGCCTGCAACAAAATGTCTGAAATGAATTGCATCACCTCTTGTGTAATAAATTTAAGGAATAAGCCAGCTGTAGGTCTCGGTGATATACACTTTGTGGAAATCGTTTCTGAACCTCTCGTCATTGCAATGTAAAGCCTTGATAAATTCTGTGCTGTTCTAACGCTTCCTCTTATTACCCCGCCCAGAGGGGGAGGGGGTATTGTTATTGGTGCTGCGTTTTTGTCAGCATGTATTTGCTTAAATTCCATAAAGTTTTCTCAGAATTTGTGCAATGGTACAATGATCTCCTGATTAAATTATGGACCTAATTGAGTCAAAGGTCATGGAAATCCAGGCAGTGAGTGTTGCGCCTGGTACCACTTGTTTTTATTGCTGTAATAACTGTGAACTGAGGGTCAAAGGTGGCATTTCAGAGTTGACCAATTGCTAGCGGCATTTAACTTATTTATGACTCGCCTGTTTGTGCTCAGAATGTGCTCAATTCAGTGATGCCTCATTAAACCTACAGCATACAGCAGGCGCTGGTCTCAGTCTCTGGCTCCTGCTGTAGGGGGCGCTGGTCTCAGTCTCTCGCTCCTGCTGTATGGGGCGCTGGCCTCAGTCTCTGGCTCCTGCTGTAGGGGGCGCTGGTCTCAGTCTCTCGCTCCTGCTGTAGGGGGCGCTGGTCTCAGTCTCTCGCTCCTGCTGTATGGGGCGCTGGTCTCAGTCTCTGGCTCCTGCTGTAGGGGCGCTGGTCTCAGTCTCTCGCTCCTGCTGTATGCTGGTCTCAGTCTGGTCTCAGTCTCTGGCTCCTGCTGTAGGGGGCGCCTGGTCTCAGTCTCTCGCTCCTGCTGTAGGGGGCGCTGGCCTCAGTCTCTGGCTCCTGCTGTAGGGGGCGCTGGTCTCAGTCTCTCGCTCCTGCTGTAGGGGGCGCTGGTCTCAGTCTCTGGCTCCTGCTGTAGGGGGGGTCTCAGTCTCTGCTGGTCTCAGTCTCTCCCTGCTGTATGGGGCGCTGGTCTCAGTCTCTGGCTCCTGCTGTAGGGGGCGCTGGTCTCAGTCTCTGGCTCCTGCTGTAGGGGGCGCTGGTCTCAGTCTCTGGCTCCTGCTGTAGGGGGCGCTGGTCTCAGTCTCTCGCTCCTGCTGTATGTGGCGCTGGTCTCAGTCTCTCGCTCCTGCTGTAGGGGGCGCTGGTCTCAGTCTCTGCTCCTCTCGCTGGTCTCAGTCTGCTGTAGGTCTCAGTCGCTGGCCTCAGTCTCTTGGCTCCTGCTGTAGGGGGCGCTGGTCTCAGTCTCTCGCTCCTGCTGTAGGGGGCGCTGGCCTCAGTCTCTCGCTCCTGCTGTAGGAGGCGCTGGTCTCAGTCTCTCGCTCCTGCTGTATGTGGCGCTGGTCTCAGTCTCTGGCTCCTGCTGTAGGGGGCGCTGGTCTCAGTCTCTCGCTCCTGCTGTAGGGGGCGCTGGTCTCAGTCTCTCGCTCCTGCTGTATGTGGCGCTGGTCTCAGTCTCTCGCTCCTGCTGTAGGGGGCGCTGGTCTCAGTCTTTCGCTCCTGCTGTAGGTGGCGCTGGTCTCAGTCTCTCTCCTGCTGCCTCCTGCTGTAGGGGGCGCTGGTCTCAGTCTCTGGCTCCTGCTGTAGGGGCGCTCAGGTCTCAGTCTCGCTCCTGCTGTATGTGGCGCTGGTCTCAGTCTCTGGCTCCTGCTGTAGGGGGGCGCTGGTCTCAGTCTCCCCGCCCTGCTGTAGGGGCGCTGGCCTCAGTCTCTGGCTCCTGCTGTAGGGGCGCTGGTCTCAGTCTCTCGCCCTGCTGTAGGGGGCGCTGGGTCTCAGTCTCTGGCTCCTGCTGTAGGGGCGCTGGTCTCAGTCTCTGGCTCCTGCTGTAGGGGGCGCTTGGTCTCAGTCTCTCGGCTCCTGCTGTAGGGGGGCGCTGGTCTCAGTCTCTGGCTCCTGCTGTATGGGGCGCTGGTCTCAGTCTCTGGCTCCTGCTGTAGGGGGTCTCAGTCTCTGTCCTCAGTCTCAGTCTCTCCTGCTGTAGGGGGGCTGCTCTCAGCTCTCAGTCTCTCGCTCCTGCTGTATGTGGCGCTGGTCTCAGTCTCTCGCTCCTGCTGTAGGGGGCGCTGGTCTCAGTCTCTCGCTCCTGCTGTAGGAGGCGCTGGTCTCAGTCTCTCGCTCCTGCTGTAGGGCGCTGGTCTCAGTCTCTGGTCCTGCAGTCTCGTCTCAGTCTCCTCTGGCCCTGCTGTAGGGGCGCTTGGTCTCAGTCTCTGGCTCCTGCTGTAGGGGGGCGCTGGTCTCAGTCTCCCGCTCCTGCTGTAGGAGGCGCTGGTCTCA